CTTGCCATCTCCGCCTCCAGCCCCAGGAGGCTGCCACCACCATCAGCGACTGCTGCTCTGTGGGATCGCAGCTGATTAGCTCCTCCAGCTGGTTTACTGGCTTAGTGGTGACAGTCCCCAGGAGGATTTTATTTTCCCAAGAGGATATGTGCATGTATTTGGTGTGTCCAGAGCACACGGTCCTTCTCCCACTGCCTGGGGCAGCAGGGTGGTGTTCCTGCAGTGCCCAGACAGAGCATCCCTGTGTGCAGGGTACTCGTGGCCAGCGGTGCAGGGATGCTCAGGCTGGATGTTGAGGGATGCTCATGATACAGGGATGCTCAGACCTGCAGTGCGAGGAGGCTCGTGGCATGGGGATACTTGCAGCCAGCAGTGTGGGGATGCAATTTCCCAGGGAAAGGTGAAGGGACAAGGGTCTGTGACACAGGCCCAGCAGACAGGCATACTTTTTCAAGGCATCTCTGGCAAGGAGGTGGGTCTCCAGTTATAGTTCTGTCTGTCCCGCACAGAGACAAAGGCTTGCAGTGGAGGAGCTCTGCTGTGGCCACGCTGGGTGGTCAAAACTGGGAGGGTTACAGCGAAAACACTGCTTTCTGGAGCCTGACTGTACATGTGAGAGCCAGGGCAGGAGTCTTCAAGGGGTGTTTTGGGGGGTACATGGGATATTTGGGCATTTCCTTGCTCAGCTAAACCCAAGTGAGCATTGTGTCCCTCCTTCGCAGCGAGCGGTGAGCAGTTCAGTGCTTCCAAGGGACTGTCTCTCTCCAAGACCTCAGGACGAAGCCCAAGGGTGTCCCCATGGGGTCAAGGTCTCCGGTGAAGGGCATGGGGCGACGCAGGGTGCCTGGTGTGCTGGCACAGGGGGTGCAGGCTGGGCTGGGTGAGGACCTTGGGGGTTAAACATGGGTTTGTGCTGGGCCAGCTGCCAGCGGTGCGGGCGAGGTGCCCGCCCTGGCCGGCTGCTCCCCAGGTGCCCTCTGCACCCCGTGGGGAGCTCAGCCTGGCCTGGCATCCTCGTCATGGGGGCGCAGCCCAGCCCCATGGGGAAACTGAGGCGCAGGGTGCAGCATGACAGAGGGGACTGCTTGATCGGGGGAGCTGGTTGGAAACTTGCCAGCGAGGATCCAAAAGGCCAAGGGCTGGCATTTTCCCCCAGAGCCAGAGCGTGCCACCGCTGAGGGTCTCGGCCCTGTCTGGCAAGCGTGCGGCCATGCTGCCTTTGCCGTGGCCAGCGTCCGGCGGAGCATGCGAGCCCTACATTTGTAAGCAATTTGCCGGAGCGCTCCAGAGGTGCTTCCCGCCTGCTGCTTGGCAGCCAGACGCTGCACAGAAGCTCACTGGCTCCCTCGAGGCCTCGCTCAGCCCCGGCCCCGCGCTGCTGAGCCTCATCCTGCCCGGGCAGGCGCTGGAGAAGGCTCTGGGGGGGCAGAGCGGGGCAGGGGCCGGTGGGACCCCTTGGAGGGGTTGTGTTGGGGAGTGGGGCCGAGCAGGGGGAACCCATGGCTGGAGTTAACCCTCGGGGTTTTCCAAGCCGTGTTTTCCCCTGGAAATATCTCCTTCAGGGCTTTTTGCATTTCAGCACTGGGTCCGTGTTTTTCTGGGTTCATCTTCCTGGGATGAGTGTGCTCGCGGCAGGGAGCAGGGGGTGGGGATCAGGCCCGTGGGTGCCCCCCCCCCAGTGCAAACCCAGAGGAGGTGACAGTGCAGCTGGGAAGGGTCTGTCCGCCCCATCCCAGAGCTGTGGCTGGATCAGCCCCGACCCCGCAGCCCTTTTCCAGCCCGGCTCTGCGGTCTCCCAACCAGAGCCGCACCTCCAAACCAGCCGGTCTGGGAGGGCTGTGGGATTGGGAACGGCTTGGCCCAGCCTCTGCCAAGCAGCAAAATGCCTGGGTGGGAAAGGCTGGAGAGCCTGGAGCTGCCAGGGCACCAGCAGGGAGAGAAGGGGCTGAAGAGATGGGGAGAAAAACGGGGGAATTGGTTAAAAGAACCGAGCACATGGATGGAAGGAGGAGGAGGGAAGCATCCCATCTCCTGCCTTCCTGGCACTGCGTCCCCAGGAGCATGATGGGGGCTGGTGGCACCACCTTGGCAGCCCTTGTGCTGCCCCGTTGCCTCACCCCATCCCCGTGCGGGCTCCCTGCTGAGGCGGGGCTGCCTTTGGGGTTGCTTTGCTGGCCCCACGTGCTATACAGAGTAGGGGTGTGCAGCAGGATGGCGCTGGCGAGGGGGTCCCGGCTGCCTGCCTGTGCTCTGTTTTCCCCCTCCATCCTCCCTCCACTCCTCTTTGCTCATGCCTTCGTGCCTGCAGTGCCAAGGTGCCTGGCCCCTTTCCTACCTGCGCTTTACCTTCCAGCCTGCCTGCAAACCCTCCAGCTCTCCAAGCAGCGATTTACCCAGCTGCAGACCAGGGGTGAACTCCTTCCTTTCCTGCCTGAAGTGGGTACGAGCATTATTGCATTCACATTCAGGAAGAGCCCCAAAGGGGATGCTGCTCCCGACTCTACTTTTTGGGGCCTGCTACTTTCCCAGCCACCCACACCGTGTCCACATGGTCCTGCCCTGCGTCCTGACCTTGCTGGGCTGCCAGACCAAGGAACTAATTTGAGGAATGTTGCCCAGGAGAGGAGCAGACGCAGGCATTTTGCCGTGCAGATGCTGACAGCTGCTTTTGGGGGTCAGGGAGCGGGCAGGGACACCCACCATGTCCTGGGACACCCACCGCATCCCAGCCCTGCTTACTGGACCCCACTGGTCAGCCTGGTCCCCTTGTAGGAGGGGGAGGGATGAGATTTTGGGGTGACCTCTCCCTCTTCAAATAGTGGGCATTGCTCAACTCCAGGACCAGCCCCTGGGGGGCTGTGGGATGTTTCTGCATCTTTTGGATGTGCTTGTGCTCAGTGGGCACCTCCATCCAGCCCGTCTCTTCCTGGCATCGCCCACCTGGCTCCACTCTGCTACCTGGCTCACAGGGTTCAGCCTCTGCCCCTCCTGCCATGGGTAAGGACCCCTCCTCCTTCTCCTTTTCCTCCTCACCCTTTCTCATCAGCAAAACCCCTGGCAATTTTTAGCTGCCGTTGATGGGAGCAAACCTGGATTGGCCTTTGGTTCCCACCGCACAGACCATCCTTTAAAAATACCTATTTATAAACCCAAATTAAAAGGCAGGGGGCTGGGGGGTTGCTTGGGGAGCAGGAGGTGATGGCTTCATGGGCATTGCCTGCAGCTTACTGGAACCCTTCATTTATTTTTAATTTTATCTCAATTGTGTCCTTTGGAAAACCCCCAGCAGCAAACGCTTCCCAGCCCTTCCTGCTCCTTGCTTGCGGGATCCATCCCAAGACTTTCAGAGGGGCAGGGTGAGGCCTTTTCCCACCGCAGCCATCCCTGTTCCCGGCTCTGCTGCACACCCAAAGTGTGATCCTGGCTCTATGGAAGAGGCACCGCAGGGCTCAGTGGTTACGGTCGCTCCATGACTCAGGTCAGAAGTGGCTGGTTCACAAGTGAAATGTTATTTGTTTCTGGCCAGCGGGGCCAAGGGAAGCAGCTTGTCCTTGATAAATACCCTGGATCCTGGGCTCTCAAGCAATACGGGGCTAGAAAGGAAAAGCAGGAGCTCCGCAGAGCAATGGCTTTGGGAGCTGGTTCCTTTGGGAAGGGCTTTCAGGGTAGCAGAGCTGCTCTCTGGTGCTCTGAAGAGGAGCAGCCCCTGGAAGAGGTAATTAGGGTGATCTGGTCCTGATCCCCTCAGCTGTGGCAAGTCACGAGTCCTTCACCAGCAGCCACTCCAAGCCCATTTTGCATTAATTAGGCTGTTTACAAAACACTGTAAATTGCAGTAATGAACGCACTGTTCCTTGGTTTCCTTTAATTATACATTTGCATGATGAATGAGCCGGCCCCCTCTTCAGCTCTCCTTTCCGGCAGAGGGGCCACACAGCAGAGTATGGCTTTGTATGGGATCTGCCATGCAAGGGGGGCAGAGGCCTTGGGAGAGGAGAAAAAGAGAAGGGAATGAAGGAGAAGGATGAGGAGAGGGAGCTGCAGCCCAGATTTGCCCGGCTGCAAGGGAGGGGGCTCCTTCCCCAGGACCCAACCACGTTTCAGTGGGGTTTGAGCAGCTGTTTTACCCCGGGCTTGGAGCCCGGCTCTTGGACTTTGATTTTCCATAGGAAACAACACAGAAACCTTTCAAAGCATCTAATCCTCCCCAGCTCGGCGATGGGGCTGCCTGGAAAGGCAGAGGAGGAGCGGTGGCATTTCTTGCCCCCCGCATACCTTACCCTTTCTTTCCCTTTTGACTTGGCGGATGAATTCCAGAGATGTTAATCCGCTCTCAACCCTTTGGTGAAGAATAAAATGTCCTCTCTGTGTGGGAGGAAGGAATTCATTCGAATTAATTGTGGGAAGGAACAGGGAGCTGGGGGCGCGCGTGAGGCTGTGCCGAGGGTGGGGTGAGCATCCTCCGCCGCTCAGTGGTCCTCGAAGGGGAGGGAGGGACGGGTGGGGGGACGGGGATATCCAAGATGGCACAATCCTCGCATTCACAGCTGGAGGCTTCAGCCTCTGCCCCGGCCGTAAAAATGCCAACCATGTGGTCTGTGGGCCAAGCCTCAGCAGCAGTGGCGGGCACAGGGAGCAAGTGGGGGGTGAAACAGCCCTGCTCAGCAGTTTCAGGGTGTTGCTGCCTATAAAGGGGAGGTAAGTACCATCCCACCGAGCCAGGGTGACAGGAGCTGCGGGGTCTGACCCATCCCAGGGGTGCGCAGAGATGGGGCAGGAGAGATGGAGGGACAAAAGGGTCTGAGCTCGAGCCGGGTTAGCCCATAGAGGGTTTGTGGAGGTGAAGATGGAGTGAGAAGAGAGGAGAGGCTACTGGGATGGGCCAGGTGCTGTTCTGCGCTCTGGGAGGTCAGTGTGGCTGTGGGACGGGGTTCGCCTGGGGTCCCAGGGACGGCGCGGGCTTTGCCTCCTGCCCTGACCTTCTCCTCTTCTCTCTGCAGAGCTCCTGGGGTCTGCCAAGCGCCTGAACGTGAACTACCAGGATGCGGATGGGTGAGTGCTCCCCAGGCAGGGTGCTGGGCACTGCTGCCGCCAGCATGGGAGGGCTTGCTCTACCCAATATCCAGTTGGTTCTGCAGCTTTGGGTGTCATAACGCTTTTGAGAGTATCTGCTGAGCCCTGGAGAGCACAACATCTGGGCTGGGGTTAAAAGGGATCGCAGCATGTCCAGCTGGTGCCCCGTGTCCCAAGTGCTGGCTGAGGCACAGAGGAGCACCCAGCCAGCCCCAGTGCCTGCACGTGCTTGTGCCTGTGTTTAATATCCCAAGAGCAAAATCCCTTTGTTTTGGGGGGGTGGGGGGGTGGCAGAGAAAGAAAAGCTGAGGTTGCCAAGTGACCACAGCATATTTCTGTAGCTCATCACTTCCAAAATCCAAGCGCTTAATAAGCTGGGTACTGAGAGTTAAAGAAACCACAAAGACCCATAAAATAAATAAGCATGTTATTCTTATTGAATTAAATCTGACCCATGAGTTATTAGCATTGTTTTATGTACTGTTGTTGTACCTAATTTCTACATGTTTTCTTTTCGAGGACTCTGTAGGAGGAGGTGTCCGTGATGAGTCCTAACAGGCCAGCGGGGGGTTGAAAATGTGCAGGATGGCTCTGTCTTAAAATAATACTGTGCAGATGGAGCTTAATAGAAAAAAAATGTAATAATAGAAGCAATGATCTGATTCTGATAAGGCACAGGGCTTGTGCTCGGGCAGCTCCAGGAGGGCTGCTGATGGGAACGTGGGTAAAGGGTTCATTCCTCATCAGAGGGCTACGTGCGGTGTGCAGGGTATTAACTGCGAGCGGCACGTTGGGTTTTGCTGGGGCACAGGACGAGGATGGTGGGGAGGCAAAACCCATGCATGGGGACGGCAGCGTGCACGCTCCTGGGAGACCCATGCTGCTGGTGGTGTCCTCGGCGTCACCTTGCTTGCGGCTTCAAGATGTTGGTGTGGGCAAGCGTGGGTTTGTGCAGCCACCTCCAGGGCAGAGTTGGCCCCACGGGGATACTGGGGGTTATCCCCACAGTGTTGGCTCAGGGACACGGCAGCTGCATTGAAGGAGGGAGCAGCATCCCTCCTGCGATGCCTAGAGACCCTGTACAGGGATTTGGGGGTGCCCAGGGACTGCAGGTTGGGAGGAGAGCTGTGCTGGCTGGGCTGCATCCCCAGCATGGGGCTGGGACACTGCTGAGTCCACCAGAGCCCCGGGCCAGCGCCGTCTGGAGCTCCCCGCGCCCCTTGAAGTGGCACATGGGCTAATCCCCGGCAGCGCAGGGACCCTTCCCTCGGTCGTGGCGCTTCACGTGATGGCACGGAGGGAGCGCCGGGCAGACAGGCCCCTTTCACAGCCCTGAGACACAGGGCCCTTTCATTAGGGGCGGCCTCCCACACTGTGCCGTGGACTCCCGGCATCCCTCCTGGCACGGGGAGGGGGCGGCTGGCGGAGGGGCCAGGAGTAGCCATGGGGCCAGTGTGTTTGCTGGATGCCGTGAGCAGCGTGGCTTCGGGCTGCCTGGTTGCACTGCAGAGAGGAGAGGAGAGATGCGTCTCTTTCCATCCTGCCTGCTTGCCCCCTGCACAGGTCAGGGGGGTGAGGGACCCCTCTCGCTGGGGTCTCAGGGGCTACACGGGGTCCCTGCATCCCTCACTGAGCCCTGGGGCGCAGACAGCATGGGGGGATTTATCTCTGCTTTGCTATGGGGAAACTGAGGCACCGGGAGTGGGAGATTAGGAGGGATGTAGCCATGAACAACCGGTGACCGGCCCGGCCCTCGGCCTGTGTCCCTGTGCAGGCGGGGACTGTAGGGACAGCATGGCAGGGACTGGGGCTGGGCTGAGCCCTGCCTTGTGTTGCAGGTTCTCGGCGCTGCACCATGCAGCCCTGGGTGGCAGCCTGGACCTCATCTCGCTGCTGCTGGAGGCGCAGGCCACCGTCGACATCAAGGACAGCAACGGTAAGGGGTGACCCCCAAGCACAGCCCTGTGCCTCCGGCAGCTGGCTCAGCCCTCTGAATGAGGCTGGGGGCCCCATCCAGCCCTGCTGAGCCCCGTTCCCCCACAGGGATGCGGCCCCTGCACTACGCAGCCTGGCAGGGGCGCGTGGAGCCGGTGCGGGTGCTGCTGCGTGCCGCCGCCTCCGTCAACATGGCCTCCTTGGACGGGCAGATCCCGCTGCACCTCTCTGCGCAGTATGGCCACTACGAGGTGGTAAGTGAGAGCCCAGCGCCACCCACGCACCCACCCCAGGTCTCTCTGGGGGTGCATGGGTGGGGGCAACTCCTGTCATGCCGGGCAGGAGGGAGGCAGGGGGGTGGAATGGTGCTGAAATCCCTGTACCACATTGCTCCCCCGCAGTCAGAGATGCTGCTCCAGCACCAGTCCAACCCCTGCCTCATCAACAAGGCGAAGAAAACCCCCCTGGACCTGGCCTGTGAGTTTGGGCGGCTGAAGGTGAGCACTGTGGGGCTCTGCTCTGCACCAGGCACTTCTCCAGGGATGGCTCTGGAGCCCGCTGGCTCCTCCAGGAGCAAAATGCTGGGTCCGGCCACAACTGCTTCTCCCTCCACCATGAGCCTCGGAGCCTGGCAGGCAGCACCCGCTGCCTCCTGTGGTGGAGCAAGGCCAGATCCTGAAGGTGGGAGCTGCAGGTTTTGCTCCTGACTTTGTGTCAGGGCAGCGTCAGGCTGGGAGAGAAGCCAGGAGTCCTCGCTCTCGGTTCCCCGCAGCCTCCCCCCACCCACCCCAGCTTTGCTCCCGGTTAAGTACAGATAGGCTGAGCTGGCTAATCCCCGCAAGCCCTGAGCGCCCGGCTGCGCTCGGCTGCTCAAGGTCCCTGGCATGGCTCATGGGGACAGGGCTGCCCCGTGCTCTGGGAGACCCCAGCCCAGCCAGCACCACCCCACTGGGCTGGGCTGGAGCGTGGCCAGCCAGACTGTCCCATGCCCCACCGGGGAGGGGACCAGGGGGATATTTCCATTTTTGGAGTATCTATAATGTCTGCAGCTATAAACAGGGCAGTAAAAATAACTCGTCTGTGCCTCTGGGCTGCCCTGAGATGCTGAGAGTCGTTCTGGGCTTGGAGAGACTGGAGGTTTTTAGGGCTTGGTCTGAAAAGCCCGATTATGGGAAAACTATTTCTGGCTGTTGTGACCTTTTACGGCCCCTCACGACAGTGTGGCCTTGCCAAGCACTGGCCGGCTCCAGCTGAGCCCTGGAGCTGTGGGTGGAGGGGAGCGGCGGGATGGGAAGCAAAGGGCCAGCCCCCAGGGCGAGCCCCTTGCTGGGGGGGTGCAGGTGGGGGTACCTGCACCCCACTGCTCACCCCTGCACCCCGTGCAGGTGGCCCAGCTGCTGCTGAACAGCCATCTGTGCGTCGCCCTCCTGGAGGGACAGTCCAAGGATGCCACTGACCCCAACTACACCACCCCGCTGCACCTGGCAGCCAAGAATGGGCACAAGGAGATCATCAGGTAACCCCCCTCCAGCCCAGGGCACTGCCCTGTCCCAAAGAAACCCACCACAGCTTCAGTCCCGCTTCCTCCCAAACCCACCTCCCTGCTGTGTCTTCAGTCCCTTGTCCCCAAAGCCTCCGTGGTGCAAGGGGTTGTCCCCTTCCCATCGCAAAGCAGCTGATTGCCTGGCCCTGATGTCTGTATCTTCCTGTTCATGTCTCTCCTTCTGTCCTACCAGGCAGCTGCTGAAGGCTGGGATTGAGATCAACAAGCAGACGAAGACGGGCACAGCCCTGCACGAGGCCGCGCTCTACGGCAAAACGGAGGTGGTGCGGTTGCTGCTGGAGGTGAGCATGGAGGGACAAGCCCCTGGGGCTTGGCCATCACCCCCTTCTCCGCGGTCCCTTTGTCCGCTGTGGGCCTGGCAGCAGTTGCGGGGTCTGTCCCTGACTGTGTCCCCTCCCGGGCAGGGCGGCGTCGATGTGAACATCAGGAACACCTACAACCAGACAGCGCTGGATATCGTGAACCAGTTCACCACCTCGCACGCCAGCAAGGACATCAAGCAGCTGCTGAGAGGTGAGGTGGGGCTGGCATGTGGCTGGGCCGAGGGGCTTCTTCCCCACGGGACCTGCCTGGGGCTCTCAGTGCTCCTCCCGAACAGCCTAAACCAGCCTGGCTGCGAGCGTCAGCATCCCAGTCCCATCAGGCCTGCCCCCAATGTCCAGGGATCGAGCCCTTCCTGCAGTATTAATTTTCTCTTCTCCCCTTCCCTCTTGTTTTCTCCCTCCATCTTCCCCGAACAACTCTCTTTTCCCCTGTGCTCTGGTACCTTCTTCCCTCTGTCCGTTGCCTTCAGAGGCATCAGGAATCTTGAAGGTCCGAGCGTTGAAGGATTTTTGGAACCTCCATGACCCGACTGCTCTCAATGTCCGGGCAGGAGACGTCATCACGGTGAGGCTGCTCCCCACTCCCTGTCCCCCTGCTCTGCCAAGCCCCAGGTACCAACCCCATCCCTCTTGTCCCCGTGACAGGTCCTGGAGCAGCATCCGGATGGGCGATGGAAGGGGCATATCCATGACGCTCAGAAAGGCACCGATCGGGTCGGGTACTTTCCCCCCTCTATCGCCGAAGTCATCAGCAAGCGAACAGGTCAGTGGCTGCCCTGGGCATGCCAGAGACCGTCCCCTGTGTGAAACCATCCCAGCCTTCCCAGCACCTCCTGTTTGACAGGTCCCTGCAGCCCTGGCTAGCTAGAGGGGGAAGAGAAGGACTTGGGTGGGCACAGTGGGTTGTGCCATCAGTGGGGTGGCAGTTTGGGGGGTTGAGGCTCAGATATTTCCCCCCTGCCCTGCTCCCGCACGAGCTCTGACCACACGTGTTTTGTCTTTGAATGCAGGCATGGTTGTCCCCCGCGTGGCGCCCGTGCACCAGCGCCAGGGTTCTCCCGGGGCCCCCCCAGCCCCTCCCGGCGGGCTGCAGCACTTCCCCGATGATTGTCCTCACCAGGCAGCCCCGAACGTCCCAGCGGCCCATGGCCACCCCACCGGACAGGGTCTGGGGACCTTCCCCTGTCCCCAGCCCTGCCTGCGCAGGGGGGCTCGGGGGGAGACGCTCTTTCCACCTCCAGGCGAGGAAACAGCCAGATGAGAGGGTGCAGGTGCAGGGAAAGGAGTTTTGGGAAGCCTGTAGAGCAGCCCCTTCCTTCCTCCCCATGTCCTCTGCCAGGCTGTGTCCCTATGTCCCCTTCGTGCATCCTTTGCCAGCCCAGGTCACCCTGTCTGTGCCGTGCATGCTGGGAGGTGGGAGGGACTGATGCATCATTTGTGGTTGGAGGGATTTTGTGGGAGGCTGGTTTTTACTGGTGTCACTGTGTTGGCACATGGGTCCCTGCCGGGGACCCTGTGCCCTGTGTCAGCCCTGATCCCAGGGCGCTGCTGACGGCCTCCCCGCCTGCCCCGAGCAGCAGGAGACAGGAACAGTGTGGGCAGCGAGGGCAGCATCGGCAGCATCCGCAGTGCCGGTAGCGGCCAGAGCACCGAGGGCACCAATGGGCAGAGCACCAGCATACTCATCGAGAATGCCAGGGTAGGTGCCAGTCCCTGCTCCCCCTGTGCTGCTCCCCCAGGCCTGCCCTAGGCTGGAGATGGAGGCCCAGCACCTTCCTTGTCACCCCTTGCACCTCCTAGTGAAGGAGGGGCTGCAGGAGCTGAGCATCCTCCACCAAACACATACTCACTGCTGGGACTCAGTGGGGAGATGCTCCTGGGGTCCCCCTGGTTGCACCCCCACAGCACAGCTGGCCCTTTCACATGGGGCTGAAGGCTGTGGGTGATACCACACAGCATCTCCACCATGTCCTGTGTCACCTGAGAGGATAAAAAGGGTCCTGGGCCAAATCCTGCCCAGATCTCTTGTGAGGGGCCAGCCTCACTAGCTGAAGCTGTGCCCAGCAGCCCAGTGTGGGACCCCACCCCACACCTGGGGATGTGAAGCAGACCCTGGCACCCACCTTGGGGACGGGGAGGGAAGTCCCTCCTCCACTCACTCCTCCTCTCTCGCAGCCACTGCCCTCCGCCGGCGATGACCTCCAGCAGCACCTTTTGGGATCAGAGCCACACAATGGGCAGTTGACCTCCACATCAGGTGAGGGATGTCCTAACACCATGGGGCCTTGGGGACAGCTGTCCCCCCAGCCATGGGGGCTGCTCGCTGCCCAAGTGCCCCCGTGACCGTTCTCCTTTCTCCTCTCTGTCAGGGCCACAGGGCCAGCAGACCCCAGGCAGCTGCCCCCCTGGAGACAGGGTCTTCTCCCACCAGTTCTTGCGGCCTGAGCAGCTCCTTGAGGGGAAGGTAACTGGGCCAACTGGGGACCTGGTGTGCCAGGTGGGAGGGCCACATATGGGGCTCTCAGCCCAGCTCTTGCTGCGCTGGAGACACAGGGGGACTGGGTCTTGGGGATGGTGGGGACAAGTGGGTCTTGCCCAAGGAGGTCCTGTCATCTTGTCTGGAGCAGCCAGGTCCTTCCAGGCCCTGCAGACTCCATCACGGGCTGCTCTTTGCCCTGTGCTCTCCCCAGGATGCAGAAGCCATTTACAACTGGCTGAGTGAGTTCCAGCTGGAGTCGTACACCGCCAACTTCCTCAATGCCGGCTATGACGTCCCCACCATCAGCCGCATGACCCCAGAGGTAAAGCAAGTTCTTCCCCCAGCCAATGCTCCCTGGAGCTGCCAGCAGTGGGCACCCACTGCCCCACGCTCCCCATGCCAATGCTAACTGCAGCCCCACTCTGTTCGCATTAGGATCTGACAGCCATTGGCGTGACCAAACCAGGCCACAGGAAGAAGATCTCCACCGAGATTGGGCAGCTCAGCATCACCGAGTGGCTGCCCAGCTACATCCCGGTGAGTCCCTGGCATCAGGGCTTCGGTCCAGCACCCTCTTTTCCCCAAGTCTTTTCTCAGAGCCACCTTCCCCCAGGACAGGCAGGACAGGATGGGTGTCTTTAAGTAAATACATGCTGCAACAGCCTGTGTTAATGGGGAGAGACCCCAGAACCAGAGACTTCTGGCCAGGGGCAGGGTGGGGATGGATGAAGGTGCTGCCTGTCCCTCAATGCTCATGGCAGTGTCTTCGTGCTCTTCTCAGGCTGACCTGATGGACTGGCTCAGTGCCATCGGGTTGCCCCAGTACCACAAAAAGCTGGTGAACAATGGCTATGACTCCATCACCATCGTGACAGACCTGACATGGGAGGATCTGCAAGAGATTGGCATCAACAAGCTGGGTGAGTCCCTGCCACCGTGCTGGGGTGGCCCAGGGCAGCCAAGTTTCCCACCCAGGTCCCTACACCCTGTTCTCCCTCGGGCTGGGAGGCGCAAATATGTCCTGAGCACTCATAAAGGGCAGTTCGTGGCTGTCCTTACAGACTCCCCTTGGCAGGCTGGAGCTAGGCTGAGCCAGGTGGACACTGGCCGTAGTTTGTCTCCTCCCACAGGCAGGGTTTGGATAGCCTGGAGGCCTTTGCCCTGGTTGATGACATGACTATGGCTCTTCTTGGCCAGAGCTAACCTAATGCCCCTTTACTGTTGCAACCTTCCTGCAGGCCACCAGAAGAAGATCATGCTGGCTGTCAAGAAGCTGAGAGACCTCCGCAAAAGCCTCAACCAAGCAGAAGCAACTCTGGCAAGACGCAAAGTCCCTGGTGCCCTGGACATTGTCACCATCGAGTCGCTGGAAAATGGGGAGTGCCAGTCCCCACACACCCCCAAAATGACGACCTTCCAGGACAGTGAGCTCAGCTACGAGCTCCAGACGGCCATGTCCAACAGCTGCCATGAGACACTTGGCATCAAGAGCAGCCAGGGGATGTCGCGGAGCCAGGAGAGCATCGGGGTGCGGTCCCGGGGCTCGGGGCACTCGCAGGACAACGTGCTGTCCCGGCACCTCTCCAGCCCCTCGCAGGAGAGCCTGGGCAGCGGGGAGAGCAGCAGCAGCAGCGGGCAGGCCTGCGCACCGCCCCGCAGCAAGGAGAGCCCGGCGGCGGTCACCCCCTGTACCCCTCCCCAGACTCCTAGCAAGGCAACAGCCCCATATGTCTTCATGTACCCACATGTCTCCTTGAAATCCCCAACGGTCCCTTCCCTCCTGGGAGCAGAGCAGCCCAAGACCGTGGCACACCCGTACCCCTCCATCTCCTCCGGACAGAAGAGCAGCCTGCAGACATCAGCCCAAAAAGCCTTCTCCTACCTGCATAGCCAGTGTGGCTCCACGGAGCCACCCACCATGCCGCCCACAGCTGGGACAGCCCCGGGCACGTGGCAGGCCGGGGAGCAGCACAACGGGGGTGAAGGCTTCAAGTACAAGAAG